TACTTTCTCTTTGATTTCTGCTATCGATCAGCCACCTCGATTAGACTTCTGTTTGTAGGTGTTCTTGTATTTTGCTAATACCTTCAGAGAGAGGGTGTGTACAGTAATCAAGCATCTTTATAGGAAGAACAAGAAGAAATTAATTTATTAATTAAATTTTTGTTCGTTTGTTATTGTTTAAGATTAGCTCAACGAATCATACCAATTGGGATATCAGTACTCAGTCATAAATTTAATTAGATTCTATGTGTGTTTCACGTTGGGTTTGATTGATCAGATGATCTGTCGCCTCACATTGTGAGCAACGGAATTAAAAAAATATAAGTGTAAATAGTATTTTCAAGCCAAATAGAGTATTTTACAAATATCGTAATCGTTATCTCAATTCTCAAATATCAATACGTGCATCGTCGTTATCCCTTGTAAATGTGTTTTAAACGGCCTGCGTTGTACAGTCTACTGTCAATGGTCGCGTGATAAATGTATAAATGGTTCAAATATTCAAATAAGACATCTTTCTATTTCAGATTGTCAACCCGTCTTCACTATTCTTTTTCATTTTCTTTTCCCAGACGGTGCAGCATGTACAGTCTTCAAAAGAAGAGCGGATAAATATAAATGTTTCTTAATTAATCATTAGTTAAAAAATATTAACGTTGTTTCTTAATTTCCACCGGAGGTAACATATATTAGATGTCGCAGGCGTAGCTACATTGCATTTTAATTCGATGTTCTATTATTGGTTTTATAGCATAGTCCACATACTAGTACACCATCACAGCCCGATGAATCATCGAATCAATATCAAAATTGAGCAAACCTATGCACTAGGGTCGCCACAAATCGTCCCACTTTTCCCGAAGACAAAACTGCTATTATATGTTCTAGTACTAGACTTCTCATATTTGGCGAGATATCGGTCTATCAAGTTGGAGTTTGGTTTAGAAAGGACTTATACTTACTGAAATACGTTTCTGATGAAGGGGGGAGGGGGGGCTTAAACTAATAGATAGAGACTAAATTAACTGTAATGGTAAATGTATACTTTCACGAATATCCCCAAAAATATACGCGTCAGAAGATCCTAATGGAGATATCTAATGAACTAAAACTGCGCATTCTGTCGAATACATATCTCAACAAAATGTTATTCTCCAGCATTTTTCTCTCATGACCAAACGCGTTAACTGCACTATTATCACGTAATACAGTCGATCGTTACATTTTTTTCTTGCTATACACCTTAACTAAAGCATGCATCAATTGGATTTTTCGATGTTTTTGATGGATAGTCATGCATCAATGGGCCGAGTGCTGTAATAAGGAAGGAAAACAGCAGAGAAGAAAGTATAAAAGTATAGTAAATGAGTGAAAACGGTTTATTTTCGCGTCCGTTTCTGATCGTTTATTTTATAAGTAAACGCTCGTTGTGCCTGTAGTGTTCTATACTACCACTTCTTATCAACAATACCACTTATTCAATCGATAACTAATGAATAATAGCGGTAAAGCAGGAACGAATATGAGTCCAGCAACTGCTAATCATTTTCATCGTATTAGACGTGAAATGAAACATTTTGTGGAGAAACAAGCAACCGTGGAAGAACTTCAAAAAGGCAATCTGTACGGCGCACATAATGGCCAATCATCTCGCGCATCATCGTCATCGAGCGGCCGCCAGAAGAAAGCATCATCTTCTTCCTTCGCATCAGCCGGATCGCATCATCTCCAATTGCAACACCAGCATTAGTGAGGAAAAGAACAACTAAAGAAAAAAGTGAGAGAAAAGATAGTCGAATTTTGTTGAAAATGAGAGTATTTGATTAGCGATTCAACTGCTCGATTCTACTAAGATTCAAGTGTCTAAATTCTACTCTGAGATATATATTCATTCATGATGGGTAGATTTTAGGCTTCTGCCATCGTTTTTTTTTTTATCACAGCTGCTTGTAAAAATAAGGAAGTATGAGATAAAAGTTCTATTATAGGTTCTCCTAGGTTTCTTCATTTTTTAATGTATGATGATGAATTTAACATTATTTTTAATAATACTTATTTTTGTTATTTTTCTGTGTCGAAGTTCCGGTAAAATATGCTCAATATTCTGTCATGAACGGTGGAATGTTTACATTTGCGCACAATAATTTATTTATTTCCCTTGAATTAATTTCTGTGTCATAGAGGATTAGTAAGGTCAAGGTCCAAAAAGGTTTTCCCAACATTTTTTAGTATACTTCAAGCTGGAGAGTACGGATTTGTTTTATTTTACACTAGACACCTAAGTACAAGGACGGACCGGCGCCGATTTTTTAATTAAGTCTTTGTTAGTTTTCCAGACAACCAACAACCTCCAAAATCCGAAAAATGCTTCCGAGTTTTTTAAAAATCCTCAGTTTGACAAAAAACTAAGACATAATTCAAAAATCGACGCCGGTCAGTCCATGTAGTTTCTTTTTCTTTTAAACAAAAAAAGAATAAGCTCTCTACGACAAACCGCTATTAAAAATCTTGGGAAATACTTCAGGTGTATCTCTTATATAAAGGAAGCGCTGTATAAAATACTCAATTTTAGGACTCGTAGGAAAATGCCTGTAACTTTTGATGCATGGTCATACAGAGTTGTGCGAGGTCTTATTTTGATTAGAAAAGTTTGCTCTACAAATGTGTGTGTTCGGAAAAACTTTAATTGCATAAGTATCCAGAGAAAACTATTATTTGACGACCTGATTTTTCGAGCCTCCTAGAAAACTTGCACAAAATCCGCGAAAAGTCATTTTTGTAACCAAAAGCGATACAGATTCTGAAAGTAGACACTTCAGCCATTTTCCGATGTACTTAGCTCAAAACCGATTATCTCAAAATCGGGGGGGCTTAATCACAATTTTAACGAACATCTTCGTCAGCAGCAACATAACAATATTTAGAAAAACTTGACAATCAAATCAAAAACAACACACGCTTGTAGTTCGATGTTAAATCTACAGTAATGGTCTATGACGAACAATTTCTTTCTAAGCATATTTCATCTTTTTTTCCGTCCCTTTTTACAAAAAAGGGACGGAAAAAAAGAGAATGTCATGTATCAATAGAATAAGTTGATTCCAGGTAATCTATTGATGCATGACATAACATACGACGTAGAAAAGAAACGAATTTCAAGTCAGACTCAAAGCACTTGAACGAATAAAATAAAATGAGATAAAATAATATAGGCATAGTCAAGTCAAAATATGAAAATAAAAAAGTGTAACAATTAAAAGTTATAAAGAATCTATAATCTAGAAAATCTCATCGAAGAATCAGTTGTATCTTTTTATCTTTGACCACTGCCTGATTTGAGCCATTTTCGTACAGTAGATTTCCATTGCGGACTTATAGTTTTACATCTATTATATCCCCGATTTGCTATAGAGTATATTGACTAAAGTTTTTTCCTAGTTATAAACTTTTATTTGAGAGAAGGAAATGTGAAAAACTTGAGTACAAATAAGGAAAAGAAGGAGGCGAACCTATTACATCTTTACATATTGACTGAGGACAAAAGACAGAACAAGAGTACATGATAAGAACGATACACAACGACAACAAAAAAAGAAAAGACAAAGGAAAGACAACTAAAGAAGTAAAGAGAGAGAGAAAGAAGAAAAGAGTGGTAATAATAACAAAGAAGAAATGAACTAGTGGGGAAATTCAGACTTAAAATCTTTGTGTGTAATAAAACTTATTACAATCTTATATAACTCATTCATCTCTGTGTCATTTAAGGAAGGTACAGGTTTTCGAAAAAGTATGTGTTCTAGAGAAAGAGGAACGTTTACCAGAGCATTCAAGTCGTTTTGAAAAACTGTTCTGCATCGCTGGTTATTTTGACAGTCCAAAAAGAAATGTTGTACTGTCTCGTCTTTTCCACAATCACAGTGGGAGCTGGTAACTAAATTTTTTTTATAAAGGTCATCATTCAGTCGAGAAAAATTCACTCGCATTTGGTTGAATAACATGTCATATTTTCTGTCTATGTTTTTAAACCTAGGCCATTTATATCAAGGAAAAAAGTGAGCGTTTATTGTAGAACGAAATGTTTTTAAAGCTAAAATTGTAGTGAGAGCAGTAGGTAGTGCATTCCATTGCTTAATTGTCCATGGAAAAAATGTTGTGTCAACCTTAACTTTATAAGTACGGTATGTGTTCATACGATTGTTAGAAGCAGATCACAGAGTCATAGGTGTTGTTGCTCCTAACGTGGGTATTCTGTCAACTAGAAAAGGTGGAGTAAGGCCTCTAAATATTTTGAATACTAGTAATATTTTATGCATTGCTGACATCCGAAACAGATGAATCTTTCAGAAGAATGCGAATAGTTTAGCTTAATTAGGCTAACTGTAATAGTTTTTCACCGTGTGCTATCCATTAACGTCTATAAACAATTGTAAATGGAAAGATTTTACAGAAAAGAGGAAAACATCTAATATCAGTTGAAACACTAACGAGCTCAGTCACAGGAATTTTCTGAGTCTTTTATCGATCAATTCAAAAGATATCATATTACTGACTGTTATTCAGAAGACTTTTAATTAGAGAAAGAATGGATCTGTGTCTATCTTTTTCAATAAAATACACATAATGTTTTTGGTACTAAGAATTTAACCTGTATTGTTATGCTATACGTTGATGGAAAGAAGTTTTCTTAGTAGTGGATCGATCGCTTGAAGAAAGGAGCCAATATAACTCAGGAGTAATGACCAGAGGTTTTTCTTGTTTGCTTAAAAAATGCTCCTTCTGTTTACAGCTCACAGGCTTGAGTGTAGGAACATTCTGGATTCTAAACCACATCATGTACGAGATGATACAGGAATCACACAACCGATTGGTAGGGTTAAAAATACAATCTATAAGGCATAGACATACCTTCCGCATAATCCATCTCGTATTAAAACGTTTGCTGTGTCATCAAATACACTAGATATGGTTGCAATGAAATATTTGGCAGCGCTAATATTCAGTCATAGTTTTGCCATGACACCTTTGATATTTTTACATGTTCGACGGAAAGACCAACTTTCACCATCAAAAGATGTATTAAAATATGAACGATCAAATTCTGATTTGTAAATTTCCATAGAGAATAAAAACCTATTTAATTCATCCCATAATTGTATGATATGAGAATGTTTCTGTAATTTCGATATCAATGATTCAATAGTCGTTGAGTTATTATTTCTCGATTCATCTAGAATTTTAGCAAGTGCAACTTTGATATTAATCGGTAGTTTTTCTACAAAGTCCAAACATTACCTTTATGTGATATGTAGAAAATCCACATTATATTTCAAAAAGAAGAAAAGACTCAAGATTCTAGTAGTGGAATTCAATTGATCAGTAAGTTTAAAGGTGTTCAAACAAATTTCAATCTAAAAGAAATATCTGGATGAAAACTTAAGTGATTTATCTCAAAGCAGATGTTAGATTTTAAATCATATTATTTCAAAATATTACCTATCCGGTTGTATTGCTTGTGATTTTCCAGCACAGGAATAACCATATATAATACCGTACGTAATACAAGTAACGTTCATCTACGATTCACCGACCCTTGACTGAAAGATAGGATTACAAAAGGTAGTCCGACAATCGAAACGATCATCATCATGGAGAAGGCCAGGACGAAATCGAATACTCAGGAACACGTGCGACAAGCTAAAAATAAATGCGCAATGACACTCCACCGACGCCTAACCTCAATCATTCGTCGAAGAACGAGGTAATCCACAGGAAAATCCGGAATATGACAGAGACAGTGGAAGAAAGCTACAAAAACAAAGAAGCCTGTCTTAAAGACTAAGTTAGCTAGGGCGAAAAGGCAGCTCCAATCCAGATACCACCAGGTGCCACCAAGAGCCCAGAGGAGCCAAGTGGTACGCAGTGGAACCCGGCGGAGCTGGCGAGGAGGAAAAACAGCTCCACAACTCCGGTGGTACCAGATGGCTCCACATGAGTTCCAAGTAGCTTGAACTCATGTGAACCCATCTGGTACTACCGTAGCTGTGGAGCTACTTTCCTCCCTAATCAGATAGTTCTCTTCAAACAATAAATATTTTCCCTCCCATTACGAAAACAAACAGGTCACAAAGCTCGAGCACTAAACACGAAAGCTCTTCCAGCAAAGAGGACCATTCAAACCCTTCTGTTAACATATTACAAAATTTTCGCATATGACAAAACATGGAAAACAACAGAAACAAAACCGATAAATAAAACTAACAAACATATCGCAAAAAAAAACAGCTTCAACATCTCTAAAAGTTCGTACCACTGGTCTACTGCAGACTGACGGATATTTCGTCGTATGGCCCTAGACTTTCAGTCAAGGCAAAAATGGTTTGGATGATGCATTGACATGATTTAATAAATGCATTGAAATAGTAACGTCCAGCAGGTGCAACCATAGCTGTGAATAATCATCTAGAAGCTAATATTTGAGTACAGTTGTTCATTACAGAAATGAAAACGTTTTTGTAAATACCAAATCATATTCGGCACTTCATCTTGAACATAGAAAGATAGTAATCATATTCCACTGGAAGTGAACTATTTCTGTATCTTTCTAAACCGCTGTAGTTCTCATTATAGACAAACAAACATTTGTTAAAATTTTGAATGTTGCATCATCGAATACAACATCATTTTTCAAGCTTGTATTTTGTGTTTTTAGCATTCGTTCTCGAATTTCAACATTTGATAAAATATGAGGTTATTTCGAAGCCATGATAAATAGTGGACGATTTTTTGATCTGATCATGTTTAGTGTAGTTCGTTTTAAAAATTGATGATGTTGAAAAAGTACGTCGCTTGAGAAAAAACGAAAAAAAGCGTCCGTCTTTTTCTTCTCTTCTTGCTGTGTCTACTGCACTACTCCTTTACCTATTATTCGATGTTACTTTACCAAGTAAATTAACAAAAACGTGTTACTTGTTACTAGTAACAAAGTAACAAGTTGGCATCTGATGTTACTGATTACTAGTAACAAGTAACACATTTTTGTTACTATACTTGGTAAAATAACATCGAGTAATAAGTAATGAACCATCCCTACTGAAAAAGAAGCATCTTTAAGTATTTTCTAGCTATACATCAAATGAAGGGAAGAGTCGTAACTTGGAAGACATCTAATGCAGTTCAAAAGATTTTCTAAAAGTTCAAAAAACACGTCAAAAACATCTATTTTCTAAAAGAAATTTGTTCTTTGTTATTTTAAACAAAGTAACAAAGTAACAACTCTTTGTTAGTAGCAACAAGTAACAACTGCATTACTTGTTACTAGTAACAAAGTAACAAATTAGCACCTGTTGTTACTAATTACTAGTAACAAGTAACAGGTTCGTTTCTTGTTTCGTATGTTGTTGTTTGCCGTTTTCGAGGGTCGTATATCGTGTAAATAAAATAATTTGAGTCTAAACCGGAGTTTTGCAATGATCGAATGATATGTATTTCTTTCGACTACTTAAATTTTTTTCGAATTTTTTCATTTTTGGCTGAAAAGCTCGATTACTTTTCAACATAAGAATTTGGAAGAAATGGAAAACGGGTATACCTATGAAGAGGAGCAGACAGCGGATCGAGCCATGTAAACATATCGGCTCTGGGATCTCTAAAATGAAAACTTTGTAAACTTGGTATTTTTTTTCGATTTGTACTGTTTTTTTTTGTTTGTCTTCTGCTATTATTTCCATGAAAAACTGTAGAAAAAGTTGGAGCTCAGGTTTTTTGTACTTTTGAATATGCTGAAACTAAAAGTACCACTATACCAAGAATAAAAATCGAAAAAAAAATACCAAGTTTACAAAGTTTTCATTTTTTGCGCCTCTCGTATAATTTGCGTAGTTTTCTTGATTGAAGTTATAAAATTAAAGTTTAAGTATGATTTTGTAGAGTCTTTCGTGGCGCATCTTTTTAAAGAGAACACTAATCTTAGAATCCTCAAGGAACACAAAAAAAATGGAAAATACGGAGATACTCATTCATTTTGACGCACTCGATAGGTAACTTCCATAATTCTAGAGTCAATAATCGTCATACGGAATATCAATTTATTCTCATCAATTCTATTTCAGATGAGCATTAATTTGGTATATAACTCATTTTTATATCTTTAGTAGTTTAACGTCTTTTTCTGGAAAAACATTTTTGCCAATCCTGTACTTATTTATATTTAAAGTCATCACTACTTATATTTGCAAAAATAAACTCTCCATAGTTCTCAAAGAATTCAGTCATGTGCTTCGACTTTGTAGTTGGTACATGATATGTATTTTATCTTCAGTGTTACTTGTCGAATTTTTTGTTTTGTTTTTTAGAGCTTGAAGCTCACTTTAATAGCATAGGTGTACAAATTCGCACATAGTTGTTTTGAAAACTCTTAAGATGCACAGAATTCAAACTTCGAGTGAAATTTATTTTTGACTTTTCCACACACCATTCGATAGAGAATTTGACGCTGATCACGAAAATAAATGACCCGATGTTTTGAAAAAGAACGTTTACCGGTCGAAAAATCGGGAAAACCCCAAACGTGTTCATAGCTTCAAAAAAGTAAGGTTTTACGAAAATGGCTATAACTTTTTCGCGTTTTGCTTTCAACGCTCGTGCTAAAGCTTTGTAGATTCAGCGTCAATAACTGAATCTAGAAAAGTAAGCTTCAAGGTTTCAGAGCGAAAAATGGTTTTTTCACAGTATCCGAAACAGATAGGGCTCTAAATCCGAACCGGTTTTTGCAAACTTTATTTCATTTTTGTAGAGATCCCAGAGCCGATATTTAAAATTTAATGCTGTTGAAAATAGTCGACACCTGAAAAGGAAAGGATTCCACCGGATAAGACCGCAAATCTGCTCCCCTTGAAACCAAACTATTATATTATGGTTGGACAGAGGATTGTTAGCCACATCCGAATCTGTTATCGGTTCTCTAAAACTGGTTATCCTTAGGTTGCCTTACATAGGCGTTACATTCATTTCAGTTTTCCTTTTTTGTAACAGCCTAGACATCTGTGTCAAAATAAAATCTATTGATTGATTGATTGACTGGGTGGAAAATCAAGTTTTTCTCATTTAGTCTCCAATGTGGAGTGATTTCGATTAAAGATGTTATAACTCAACAACGAAAGCAGATATCGGAAAACAATTTCCACCAATAAACTCCCCATCAAATTCTGCACAAAATCATCTTTTTCCCTTCACTGAAAGTTAGGGTCATATAAACGATATGTCCGTCCGCACTAGAGTAGCGACACCTGCTTTTAAATCAGCGTAGATTAGCGACATATTCATATTCGAGGAGGAAAAACACCTAATGATAAATTAGGAGGCAGTGCACGATAGAAATGCACTTTTCCAGCATAGCGTGCTCAATGCACTGTCACAGATTTTTCTCAAATTATCAGAGCAGATAGAGAAATGTGTCCTGAACATTTTTGTCTCTTGACATTTTTTCCAAAATGCTTTCCCTTGCCGCTAGAGTGGTTGCAAAAACAGTCGTAAAATACGGAAAAAAAGCGATTTTCCAGTCGAAAATTTTGCTTATGCTATAACTCCGTCAAATCAAATGTTAATGAGCTTAAATTTTTACCAGAGCTGTCTTGCTATGAGTACTATCTAAGATAAAAATTTGAACTAGTTTGAGTTAAGCGTTCTCCAAAAATAGTTTATTCTTTAGACACAGACAAAACGTCATCGGCCATTTTGCAAAGAGGTTTTTGCAACCGAAATGAAGGTTCCACAGTGCACAGAAAAGGAGAAAAACGCCAAAAATTTTCGGATTTTCCAGGGTTTAGAAACGTTTTTCGGAAAATATTTTTCCCAAGTTGTCTTGAAATTCAGCCACTTCCGTCAACTAAACAATTTATAAAATTAAAAATTAAAATTATATAATTTTAAAAGTTGGTCGAAAATGATTTGGCTGCCGCCGACGGAGGAAAGGATGTGTTTCAAAACAAAGTTCATATTCGAAATGCGCATAAAATTCTCTTTCTGGTCCATGTCTTTTTGTTTTTTGAAAAGTTTGCAAAGGCGAAATATCGAGGGCTTTAGAAAAACATCTCTGAAAAATCAAAATTTAATGCTAAAACTCGGTGGTTTGCAGAGGTCGATAGATAGTTCAATTCTGCATGGAGCTGTTAAATCAGAAAAATTGTTTAGTTGACGGAAGTGGCTGAATTTCAAGACAACTTGGAAAAAATATTTTCCGAAAAACGTTTCTAAACCCTGGAAAATCCGAAAATTTTTGGCGTTTTTCTCCTTTTCTGTGCACTGTGGAACCTTCATTTATACATATTCAGGTGTAGAACGAAAATCTGCGTCGAATGGTGTATAATTCAAGAAAAATTTTTAGGTTTTTCCGAGGTGATGTGGACGTTTTTGACAAGAGGCTCCCGAGTGTTTTCTGTCATTTCCCCAAAAATTCGACGACGGTTCATGGTAGTACTCTGGGCCTACTTCACGAAACCGTAGAGAACCTTTCAAACGGGCCATCTTCGGTTGCAAAAACCTCTTTGCAAAATGGCCGATGACGTTTTGTCTGTGTCTAAAGAATAAACTATTTTTGGAGAACGCTTAACTCAAACTAGTTCAAATTTTTATCTTAGATAGTACTCATAGCA